GGAATTAGCTACCCTCTGTGATCCAGATCCTCTGTGTTAGTGTCAGAGAAGGAGCAAGATGCAGCCCTGTCTGATTTCCCCAGACACGTGTTCGAAATGCATTGATTACTCAGGTGTGACTCTCGGTGACGTGCTGCCATGACATGGAGGTGCATAGGGGCCCAAAGCACCAAGATTATCCACAAGACGTGGGCAGTCTCCACTGGAGGGGGAGGTCTACCCATATCTGTACTAGAGGCAAAAGGAAAGGCTTTAGGATGAGTCCTGGAAACACACATCTTTCTGTCTCTCTCTTTTTTGGGGAGAGTGCATTTTTGAGACAGGGTTTCTCTGTGTAGCCCTGGCTGTCCTAAAACTACTTCTGTAGACCAGCCTGGCCTCGAACTCACAGAGATCAGCCTGCCTCTGCCTCTTGAGCGCTGGGATTGAAGGCATGCGCCACCACCACCTGGTGAAACATGTATCTCTTAAAGCAGCCTGGCCTGGATGGAGAGAGCCTCCCTCCAGGGCCATCTCTGGTGGCTTCTCTGTAGCCATCGCTGGTGCATTCTAACCAGTGTCCAGTGTAAAAGATGGTCCACACAGGGAAATCATCTCTCAACACTTCTAAGCAAGTCATCCTTGACGATCCTCACGCAGGTAGCACAAGGGTTGAAAGGAAATCTAGAGGCCCCAGAAGATCCTCTCCAGCCCATTTGATCGCTGAGGACCAGATCGATCCTCAACTGGCTTTGGCCTTACAAAATGAAAATGATTAACCGTGGCCACCTGTGTGGTGTCAACTACGCAACAGGAAGATGTCACTGAAGGCTAAAAGGATTGGTCTGTTTCCTTTACAGATCGTACTCCCCAGACCTCAGACTCAAATCCACGTGAGATGTTATTTATACAGCCGTTTCCCACCCGTGGCCTTAAGACTTCAGGCCACAGCACACCGTAGCCCCTACCTCCAGCCACGAGAGACGGACCAGCCTACTGTGGTTTGAACCTCAAAATGAAATGACTGCTTTCTTTCCCTCCCTCTCTAGAAGTTCGGGAGGGAATGCACGCTGATCCCAGTCGCTCCAACTGCTATTGAAGTCCCTGCAAGCACATCTCCCTCACACCTCTCTTAGTCAAGGACTTCCTCTCTGCTGACATCTGCCTGTTACACAGACAGAACAATGGATGCACTTTTAGGGCCTTTTAAATGAGCCCAGTGCTGGGTATCCTGACTGCCACACGCAACACCCGCCTTCAGTGGGCAGAAACCCGACCAGTTACCCCTGTTTCTCATGACAGTTAACCTAACTTAGGGGATGGCATGACAGAAGCAGGAGGTAAAACTGGCTAGTAAGTTTAGGTTAAAAAGCTTCCCAAACTGTTGGGTGGTGGTAATGCGCACACCTTTATTCCCAGCACTTGGGAGGCAGAAGCAGGCAGATCTCTGAGTTCAAGGCCAGCCTGGTCTACAGAGCAAGTTTGAGGACAGCCAGGGCTACACAGAGAAACCTTGTCTCGAAAACAAAAACAAAACACAAAAACAATACAACAACAAAGCCCCCCAAAACAGTAGCCAGATGCTTTCCTGGCAGAGAGCATGAAATGACCACAGGCTTCAAATCAACCTCGTCCTTGCCAGAGGTCAGATTCCCACAAGTATTTAGGGGGCTCTGATTATGGATCTGGATCCTAAGGGATTCTAAGGTTGGCTCTTCAGACAAGAGGATGTTAGAATAGAAGTCAAGGAATGTTAAAAGAAAACTCTTTCTGGTCAAGAGAATAGACCCTGTGGCCTGGGTGGAGATCCTGCATTCCATTTGGGCCAGGTCATTCTCCTGGAATCAGTATCAACTGAAGGATGGCAGACTCATCTTAAGTTACGCTAAAAAGATATGAGATGCACAGCTTGACCAGTGCAATTTGTATCTTTTTTTTTTTTGGTTTTTCGAGACAGGGTTTCTCTGTGTAGCTTTGCGCCTTTCCTGGAACTCACTTGGTAGCCCAGGCTGGCCTCAAAC